GGGGGAGAGGGGAGAAAGGGTGTCCCCGGGGTGTCCCCGCAGCCCCGTGACGTCGCCCGAGGTGTCGCCGGGCCCTCGGTGACGTCCCCAACCCACCCCCGGGGTGAGGCCACACAGGGGGTTCCCGAACCCACCCCTCCCCCCCCTCTCTCCGTAATGTCACCTAAAGGTGTCCCCCGCCCATGGTGACGTCACAGGGGGTGTCCCCAACCCCTGGTGGCATCACATAAGGTGTCCCCAAGCCCTAGTGATGGCCTGGTGGCATCTCCACACCACGTCGGTGTCCCCAACGATGTCCTTAATATCCCCGGGGGGTGTCCTCAGTGGTGTCCCCAAACTCTGGTGGCTGCTCCACCCCACGTTGATGTCCCCAACCCCTGGTGGCATCACATAAGATGTCCCCAACCCCTAGTGATGGCCTGGTGGCATCTCCACACCACATCGGTGTCCCCAAAGATGTCCTTAATATCCCCTGGGGATGTCCCCAGTGGTGTCCCCAGGTCCTGGTGATGCTCTGGTGTCTTCTCCACACCATATTAGTGTCCCCAACTCCTGGTGACATCCCATAAGGTGTCCCCAACCTCTGGTGATGCCCTGGTGGCATCTCCACACCACGTTGGTGTCCCCAACGATGTCGTTAACGCCCCCCGGGCATGTCCTCAGTGGTGTCCCCAACCTCTGGTGATGTCCTGGTGGCATCTCCACACCATGTTGGTGCCCCCAACGATGTCCTTAATGTACCCAGGGCATGTCCTCAGTGGTGTCCCCAACCTCTGGTGATGTCCTGGTGGCATCTCCACACCATGTCGGTGTCCCCAGCTGTGTCCTTAACACCCCCTGGGGATGTCCTCGGTGATGTCCCATGATCCTGGTGATGGCCTGGTGGCATCTCCACACCACGTTGGTGTTCCCAACAATGTCCTTAATGTCGCCTGGGCATGTTCTCAGTGGTGTCCCCAAGTTCTGGTGTTGCTCTGGTTGCCTCTTCACACCATGTTGATGTCCCCAACCCCTGGTGACATCCCATAAAGTGTCCCCAACCCCCGGTGGTGACCTGGTGGCATCTCCACACCATGTTGATGTCCCCAACCTCTGGTGACATCCCATAAAGTGTCCCCAACCCCTGGTGGTGACCTGGTGGCATCTCCACACCACGTTGGTGTCCCCAGCTGCATCCTTAATGCCACCTGGGGATGTCCTTGGTGGTGTCCCATGATCCCGCTGATGCTCTGGTGGCTTCTCCACACCACGTTGATGTCCCCAGTGCCTGCTGACGCCCCCATCTGATGTCCCCAGGTATCTCCAGACCTCGGTGACGACCCCGGTCCCCGCCGGTCACCCATCTTCCCAGCCATGGCAGAGGCAGTCCACTACATCCACCTCCAGAACTTTAGCCGGTCCCTCCTGGAGACCCTCAACGGCCAACGGTTGGGCGGTCACTTCTGCGACGTGACGGTGCGTATCCGCGAGGCCACTTTACGCGCTCACCGCTGCGTCCTGGCCGCCGGCAGTCCCTTCTTCCACGACAAGCTGCTCTTGGGTCACTCGGCCATCGAGGTGCCACCCGTTGTCCCCAGTGGAGCTGTGCGGCAGTTGGTGGAGTTCATGTACAGCGGTTGTTTGGTGGTGGCCCAATCGGAAGCTCTCCAGATCCTCACCGCCGCCTCCATCCTCCAAATCAAGACCGTCATCGACGAGTGTACCCAAATCATCTCGCAAAGCCGTGGGCCCAAGGCGTCCATTGCGCTACAGGATTGCTCTAAGGAATTCACACTAACTACTTAGATATATGTTGTGCCACTCTCTGAGAGGCAGTGCTTTAAGAAATGCATGAAGATAGGGCTGTGAAGATGACAAATGGTAAAGATGATATAAATAGTTACAGAAGAGATAGATATATTCCATTTAGGTTCTGTGTCTTGCAAAATATTTGGGACACAGAGATCTTCAGTGGAACTGTTTACCTCCTTTTTAAGGACACATATATAGGAAAGTCACATTTAGGCGCGGAGGGGGGTGTCCCCTCTGTCCCCGAGGTGGCCCAACCCGGTCCCTCGCGTTGTCCTGAGCCGTCCTATCAGTGCGGTCACTGCCAGAAGACCTTCAGCTCCCGCAAGAACTACACCAAACACATGTTCATCCACTCCGGTGAGGGGACACGGCAGAGGGGACATGGCAGAGGGGACACGGCAGGGGACACCGGGGGGGGATGGGGACAGGGGAGCTGCAGTGGGTCCCTTGTGGGGACAGGGGAGGTGGGGACAGTGGAAGGGTGGGGAGATGCTGGAGGGGACAAGGATGTGGGGCGATGGGGATGGTGCAGTGAGGGAGTGGGGACATGTGGGGACGGTGACGGTGATGTTGGGAGATGGGGGTGCGGAGGGTTGGGGACAGGGACGCAACGGGGACCCATGTTGACCTGGGTTTACCCGTGTCACTCCACATTAATCCGTGTTGACACATGTTGCTGTGTTGGTCCACGTTGACATGTGTTGCTCCACATGATGAGCGTTGACCTGTGTCACTCTGTGGTGACCAACGTCACTACGTGGTGACCCACGTCACTCTGTGTTGACCCACATCAACCTGTGTTGACCTGTGTTGCTCCATGTTACTCCGTGTTCACTCATGTTGCTCTATGTTAGTCCACGTTGACATGCATTGCTCCATGTTGACATGCGTTCACCTGTGTCACTCTGTCAACTCGTGTTGACCCATGTCACCCTGTGATGACCCACGTCACCCTGTGATGACCCGTATGTTGATCAAGTGTTGACCTGGGTTGACACATCACTCCATGTCATTCCACGTTGACACACATTGCTGTGTTGGTCCATATTGACATGTGTTGCTCCACATGATCAGCGTTGACCTGTGTCACTCTGTGGTGACCCATGTTGACCCGTGTTACTTTGTGGTGACCCACATCAGTCTGTGTTGATCCGTGTTGACCTGTGCTGACCAATGTTGACCCGTGTTGATCCATGTTGATCCCTATTGATCTATGTTTACCTATGTGACTCTGTGTCACTCCATTTTGATCCATGTAGACCTGCATTGATCTATGTTGTCCCATGTCTCTTTGAGTTGACCCATGTTGATCCAGTGTTGACCTGTGTTCACCCATTTTGACCCATGCCGATCCGTGTTGACCCATGCCGATCCGTGTTGCTTTGTTAATCCGGTGACCTATGTTGGTCTGTGTTGCTCCAAGTTGACCTGTGTTGACCTGCTGACCCACATTGACCTATGCTGACCCATGCTGATCCATGTTCACCTGTGGAACCATGTCGAGCTATGTCGAAGTGTGTTGATCCATGTTGACCTGTGTTGACCCCTGTTGATCCATCATCACCTGTGGAACTGTGTTGACCCGTGTTGGTCTGTGTTGCTCCAAGTTGATCTGTGCTGACCCATGTTGATCCATGATCACCTGTGGAACCCTGTTGACCCATGTTGGTCTGTGTTGGGCTTCATGGATGATGTCAATCCCTTTTGACCCATGTTGGTCCACTGACTTGTGTTGATCTATGTTGACTCATGCTGACCTGTGTCATTCTGTGTTGACCTGTGCTGATCCGTGTTGACCCCTGTCAACCTGTGTTGCTCCATGTTGACCTCTATTGGTCCATGTTGACCCATGTGAACCTGTGTTGCTCCATGTTGCTCCATGTTGACCCACCAGCCTGTGTTGCTCCATGTTGATGTCTACTGATCCATATTGACCCTGTTACCCTGTGTTGCTCCACATTGACCTCTACTGATCCATGTTGACCCATGTGAACCTGTGTTGCTCCATGTTGACCTGTATTGATCCATGTTGACCCCTGTCAAGCTGTGTTGCTCCACGAGGCCCTATGTTGGCCTGTATTCATCCACGTTGACCCAAAATCTGTGTTGCTCCACGTTGCTCCATGTTGACCTGTATTGATCCATGTTGACCCATTTCAACATGTGTTGCTCCATGATGCTCCATGTTGGCCTGTATTCATCCATGGTGACCCATGTTGAGCTGCCAGCCTGTGTTGCTCCATGTTGACCTGTATTGATCCATGTTGACCCCTGTCAAGCTGTGTTGCTCCACGAGGCCCTATGTTGGCCTGTATTCATCCACGTTGACCCAAAATCTGTGTTGCTCCACGTTGCTCCATGTTGACCTGTATCGATCCATGTTGACCCACGTTGATCTGTGTTGACCCATGTTGATCCATGTTGACCCATGTTGATCCATGTTGACCCATATCGATCCAGGTTGACCCACGGTTGTCTCTCCGTAGGCGAGAAGCCCCACCAGTGCTCCATCTGCTGGCGCTCCTTCTCTCTCCGTGACTACCTGCTGAAGCACATGGTGACCCACACGGGCGTCCGCGCCTTCCAGTGCGGCGTCTGCTGCAAACGCTTCACCCAGAAGAGCTCTCTCAATGTCCACATGCGCACCCACCGCCCCGAGCGCTTCCAGTGCCGCCTCTGCACCAAGGGCTTCTCCCACCGCACCCTCCTCGAGCGTCACGCCGCTGCCACCCACCCTGTCCCACCGCCGGGACCACCGCCGGGGCCGCCGCCACCACCTGAAGCCGGGCTGGCAACGTGGCCAGGAACCGAGGCCGCGGGTGCCGGCCCTGCTCACACGGCGTGAAGGTGTCCCGGAGGGACACACACGTGTCTCTGTCACCCCCAAACTGCCATGGGGGTGGACTTTGGGGCTCCCCTGTGCCCATGGATGAGCCCCTGGGGCTGTTGGAGCCCCCCGGGGTGAAACCTGAAGGACTTTGACCCCCACCTCAGCCATGGTTTCGATGCCCCAGATGGACAGATGGCGGGAGATGGGGTCCATCCCGCTTGTCCCCTCCCAGTGACGTGGTTTCCGTGTCCCCACCCCCCCCAAAACCGCAGCAGTGGGGGCGGCTCAACAGACTCGGTGGCACCGGGGGGTGGTGAAAATCAACACGCGGGATTTAAGGACTGTTTTAGTGCCATTATTGTGATTTTTTTTTTCTCCTAAAAATTTCCCCTCCCCTTCCTCACCGCTTGCCCACATGACATCTCACCTACTGACTGGTGGGTGCCAACTGTGGGCACATGACCACCATGGAAGGGCCACGGTAGGCGTTGGCCACATCATGGGACCTCCCCAAGTCTTTGTGATGATGATGGGTGTCAACGGGACGAAACTATGTCCCCGTGGCCACCACGGAACGGCCACAGTAGGTGTTGGCCACATCACAGGACCTCCCTGAGTCTTTGTCATGATGACGGGTGTCAACAGGACCAAACTATGTCCCCGTGGCCACCATGGAAGGGCCGTGGTAGCTGTTGGCCACGTCATGGGACCTCCCCAAGTCTTTCTGTTGACAATGGGCACCAGTGGGGCCAAACTACACCTCTGTGGCCACCACAGAAGGGCTGTAGTAGCCATTGGCCAAGTCATGGACCCTTCCCAGGTCTTTGACGGGCACCAAAAAGGCCAAACGATATCCCCATGGCTACCACAGAAGGGCTGCGGTAGCCATTGGCCACATCATGAGTCCTCTTCAAGTCTTTTCATCCATGTTTGTCCCCAGTCCTGTGGCTTTTTGCCTACACGGGTTCCCCACAAGCCAACAATGGGCATTGATGGAGCCAAACCATGTCCCCTTGGCCACCACAGAAGGGTCATAGACTCATTGGCCACATCATGGGGCCTCCCCAAGTCATTTACACTGACGATGAGTTCCCATGGCCACCACAGAAGGGCTGTAGCAGCCATTGACCACATCATGCGTCCTCCGTGAACCTTTCTGCTGATGGTGGCCACCAGCAGGGCAAACCACGTCCCCGGGGCCACCACAGAAGGGCTGCGGTAGCCATTGGCCACATCATGGGGCCTCCCCAAGTCATTTACACTGACGATGAGTTCCCATGGCCACCACAGAAGGGCTGTAGCAGCCATTGACCACGTCATGGGTCCTCCATGAACCTTTCTGTTGATGATGGCCACCAGCAGGGCAAACCACGTCCCCATGGCCACCACAGAAGGAGTGCCATCTTCTCTGCCACCTCCTCCCCTGTCCTTGGGGAGCTCCTCAGAGCCCCCGTTGCATCGCCAGAGCCGGACCGGGCCTTCGCTCGGCTGCGTGGAGGCGGTGGCGAGCAAGGTGGGAACCGCGGCTGAAGGTCTTGGTGCAGTTGGGACAGCGGTAGGGCTTCTCGCTGGTGTGGGTGCGTTGGTGCTCGAGCAGATGGGCGCTCTCGCCGAAGCATTTGCCGCACTGGCCGCACTGGAAGGGCTTCTGGCCACTGTGGAGACGGCGATGCTGGTTGAGGTTGGAGCTCCAGCCGAAACGTTTGCCGCAAGCCCCGCACTCGTAGGGTTTCTCGCCGGTGTGGGTGCGCTGGTGCTGCAGGAGGTTGGAGTTCTGGGTGAAGCTCTTGGCGCAGGCGCCACACTTGTAGGGCTTCTCGCCCGTGTGGGTGCCCAAGTGTCGCATCAGGTGCGAGCTCTGCCCAAAGGCCTTGCCGCATTCGGTGCACTTGTAGGGTTTTTGGGTACGTGGCGGGGACGTAGGGGGCAGCCCCCAGGGCCAGCCCAGGCTGAGCGATGGGGACAGCGGTGGCGATGTCACCAGGCTCTCAGGGGTGTCCGTCTCCAGGGACTTCACGGTGTCTGTGGGGACACGGAGATGGGTGTCAGCCTGAAGATCCCTAATTGCCTTCCCTGAGCTTCTTAATTGCCCCCCAGTATCCCTAATTGTTGCCTGGAATTCCCAAATCGCCCGCTGAGCTCCCAAATCGCCCCTTTGATCTCCCTCACTGCCCCCCACCCCTGGATCTCCCAGTTTGCTTCCCAAGCTGTATGGTGCCCTCGCAGACCCACATCTCATTCAGAGATGGCCAGGAGGAACGTGGAGGTCAGGGATGGACCTGGCTTGGGGTTGGGGTTGGAGCAGGGACCCCTCAGATGTCCCATGTGTCCCACCCTGGTGGTGGGATGAAGCTGGGGAGACACCCAGGACCGTGGTGGGTCTCCATCCTTGGAGTTCCTCAGACTTCCCTGGGAGGAACCATGAGGAACCTGGATGAGGTGGTGACCTGCTTTGGTTGGCGTCGGAGCCCTCTGCCGTCCCATGATGCTTTGCGATGCCCCCGCCCCCTGCTTTGTACCCCATCCCCTGCTGGGCTTACCTCCGTGGGCACTGGGGACCATCCTGCCATCACCAGGCGGCTCCTCCATGTCCTGTGGGGAGACAC